GTTCCACTTATTGACGGCTCTTACATTGTAAAAGTTCTTTCTGACTCGTTTGCTTCTCAACTTTCCATCTATGACCTCTCGTTCTGCTGTGTCTAGATTTGACCAATGTTGCTTTGTCTAACTTATCAATTTCCCTTGGAATCGTTTATCATATCCCCTCCCCCCCCCCATCTCTTATTTCCTCCAGTGTGGTAAGGTCCTGTTTTGGCAGTCTTTCCTCGTGGCTCAATCCCTTCGGCTCAGGAACATGTATTTAATATTTGTACCTGAAGAATCGAGCTATTCGCTCCCCACATTTCTAACCAATCTATTTTTGCTCTATTATGTCTTATATCTATATATTTCCCTTTAACACGCGCGCGCACATCCTTAGGAAGCAGCCTGTAGTGGCTGTCTAACTCCCAAGTACCTATTTACTGCTAGGTGAACAGGCGCATCAGGGTGAAAGAAACTCTGCCTATTTGTTTCTGCCTCGGCCGGGTATCGAACCCGGGCCCTTAGGACGTGTGCGTGTGTGGTTGACTATGATCGAAATGATCATATCAACCATTCTAGTACGAATATTCTTTTATGTTCTTCACTTGGTAAGGAAGCTCATGTTACATTGCGATGCCGGTCGCTAAAGGATACTGTGTTTCCCTAAAGTGCATGGTGGCATCATCTGAGGCAAAGGGAAAGCGGGCAAAGACAGCAGTTGTTTTGTTTCTCCACGTTCTTTTGTTTGTTTTGCATCTGGCCCCATGCCAGATGCCGGTGGCTGAGCAAGGGAGCCGGTGGCTGAGCGGACAGAACACTGGACGTGTGATCTTGTGGTCCAGGGTTAGATCCTGGGCGCCGGCGAGAAAAATGGGCAGAGTTTCTTTCACCCTGATGCCCCTGTTACCTAGCAGTAAATAGGTACCTGGGAGTTTTGTCTGCTGTCAAAGGGCTGCTTCCTGGGGTGGAGGCCTGGTCGAGGACCGGACCGCGGGGACACTAAGCCCCGAAATCATCTCAAGATAACCTCAAGATAGATAACGTTCCTTTCTCGTCCCACCCTTGTTATTATTCACCAGTATCTATCCCATCTATCCCCTATCACAGGCGTTTATTCCTGCCTTCGGCCCCCCCCCCTTACTTTTTCTCATCCTTTCTGGATGACTGGCGTGTTCCGAGGGAAGACCAGACATGTCTATTACTGAGCGATAGACCTATGTTTTCAGACCTTCATGTTATACCTACCCTGGAGATATGGTGAGAAGGGAGGTTGTTACCTCGTCGAGGTGACCAGGCTCTACACTCTCATTAGTGAGCTGTGGCAGCAGGTGTGGTCTTAACGGGTTGTTCCGGCGTCGTCTTGTACACTGTGTGATGATTCTTGCTCTGTGTTTGTTGTCAACTGCTTGGGCTATGTCTGACCCTCTGTCGCTGTGTCGATTGTATGTGTGTTGCTGCGCAATTATTTGTGGGTTTTTATGCACCTTGAAGGAGGTATATTTTCATTTTGTCTATATATTAAGAGCTTTGGGGCTGATAGGTGATACAGATGTCATGTAAAGGCATAGTCTGCATTCATTTCTTTCATGGTGTTGCGTGTGGTGTCAGGAAGAGTCCTTCGTGAGCACGTTGGCGTCCTTCTTACTCTTGTATGGTGATTTGCATCTTTTATTGGACGTGGGGTAGGGAGTCACGTTTCATACCAGGTCTCTCTCTGTGTGTGTCCTGTACTCACCTAATTGTGTTTGCGGGGGTTGAGCTCTGGCTCTTTGGTCCTGAGCCTATTGGACTCTTATCATATCTACACTTGAAACTGTGTATGGAGTCAGCCTCCACCACATCATTGTCTAATGCATTCCATTTGTCAATCACTGACACTAAAAACGTTCTTTGTAATATATCTGTGGCTCATTTGGGCACTCAGTTTCCACCTGTGTCCCCTAGTGCGTGTGCCCCTTGTGATAAATAGCCTGTCTTTATCTACCCTATCAATCCCCTTGAGAATCTTGAATGTGGTGATCATATCCCCCGTAATTCTTCTGTCTTCCAGCGGTGTGTGTGTGTAAGGTGGGGGGAGGGGTAAGAGTAGAGGGCAGACGTGGTAGTGAACAATTAGCCAGGGAGTCGACCGAGCCTGTGGTCATAACACTGCCGTCGCGCTCATATTCTCAAGGGTTAATTAACGGAGCCCCAGCTAGCGTATGGCCCAGGTGGGCCCCCCCCCCACCCCCACTTGTTCACCACAATGAAATGTGTCAAGTCAAACACGTGTATGGGGCAAGTAACACACCAGACTAACACACCTTCTCACAGCTTGAATAACACTTGCCTACAAGTATCTCTGGAGGTTCGGCTGGTATAGGGATCTAGAAGTAAAGTGCAAAGTGTGTGGACAAAGACACGGACACACAGCACACACACACAGGGTGTGTGTGGTATAGTGTGAAAAAAAAAATAGTTGTAGCAGTAGTAGAAACAGTTAATTGACAGTTGAGAGGCGGGCCGAAAGAGCAGAGCTCAACCCCCGCCAGCACAACTAGGTGAACTAGGTGAATACACTCGAAAATTATATCTTGGACTGTAATAAAATTGAGCCATTTAGAGATAAATCTAAACTCACGCTGTATAAAATGGAAAGCCATCTTATTACTAAGGAGGAAATACCTGAAATTCTTGCACTGTATCTATCTTTCGCTTCCAGTAGATAAAAGACATATGAGGTTAAGAAACAAGTAGTATATTGTGAAGACTAATAATAAACAGCAGCTCCCCTATGCCTCTGTAATATCTCCATTGCTCAAACAATTATGTATTAGCGATGAGACCTGCCATTAATATATGATGTTTAACTGTAAATATATAGCTATCGAGAGGGAACTTTCACTGTAAGTAACTGACTTTATAATTATAAGGTGTGAAGGATAGATGAAATTGTTAATGTAATAGTCTCAGTTGAGGTCTGATAAAGACCTTTTGTGCCCTTTGTGCTTTTTGCGCTACCGCTGACAGGATGAGTATGGGGTGCACAATAAACTAGCTGCCCCTGGCGGGTATTATCGGGAGCCGCGATCATGGGCCATTATTGTCCAAACATTTACACACAAAAGCCACCATGATTGAGGAAAGATGTACAGGTTTCGTAAAAGGTTGATTAAATACTTGTGAATCTTGGCTCATCACCACACAAGTTCTAAAGACACACCCCCGCTCCCTTCCATATTATTCACGGAATCGACCATTCCGTTAAAAATGCGACGTGTTAGTACAAATTAGAGCATGATAACATTGATGTTTGCTATGCGCCGGCTTCAGTAGGTCAGTTGCTTGGGCTCTTACGGTTGTGGCTAGGCAAAAAGGTTTCATTTTATACGGAGTGTCACACTGACAGAGCGGACTGGCCAGCTTGTCGGCCTCGCAACAAAAGTTGCTGGCCAAGAATAATCACCAAAAAACACCAGATTAGGTTATGCCTAAGTACATAGGCATAGGAAAAAATGAAACATAGGAAAAAATGAAACTTCAGAAACTTCTTTCTACATAGGAAAAAATGAAACTTCAGAACGTTTTCATGTTTCAACACATTTTCAAGGAAAAAACTTGTTGAAAGTATGTTGAAATATGAAATCGGTCCGACTTTACAGTTTTTCCTATCTGGTGTAGCGAGAAGATTATCCCAATAATATACTCGCTCCAAACGCATTAGCCTAATGAGAGAAGTAAAGTTCTTCTTGGTACTAATTATGGAACTCAAACCTTTCCCAACTTCCACATACTATTCCTGTCAACCTTTGGAGAACGGTGAGGTGTTGCCCGATCATAAAAGCAGCAATGTTGCGAATAATAACTAGTCTACTTTCAAGTGTGGTCTAGAACAGACACTTGCGAGATACTGTACCGACGCTCAGTGCGCTCAACTCACACCAAAGTATCATCTGCGTACTTCTGTATATTCGACCAAATATATATATATTATGTTAGTGTTTGTGTTTATTGTTACATACTTTACGTAACAAAAGAACTGTTACATTGGTGACCCAGTGAGTGAAAAGAACACCTAGTCGCAAACTAGATCTTCGTCATGGATTTATCTATCAGGTTTCCAGCATATATAACGCAGATGAACCAGAATTTTGGTTCATGCAGATGCTATTTCTGCATCTGCATGAACTAAATAGATGTTCATGCTATTTTCGACCTTCATGAAATTACGACTGAGAAAGCCCGATATGCCTGTACCCTGCCAACACTTCCCTCGGAGGCTATGCACACTGCCTCCGCTGTCATCACCGTACCATCCCCAGACACCAGGTCGTACACCGCATTGAAGGCTGCTCTTCTACAGGCAGCGATGAAACGCCGAATTCAACAAAGGGACCAACTCCTCACTGACAAAAGATTAGCATACTGCAACTGGTCCAGCACCCAGCGAGATTGTGAGATCACTCTGGATACAACTGTGTTCAAAACACATTCAACCGGTCCTATTCAGTATGGCTGACGACACCCCATTAGTCCAGCTGGCTACACTGGCAGACCGGCTTCATACGACGTCTGATAACACTACGCTGTCCCACCCCAGTGTTACACAGCAGACTACAGACCCCTAACAATTCGACGTCCTCCAGAACCGGCATTTCTTCCGCCCAGGAAGGACGTACCATGAGAATCCAGTATCAGTCTCTAGGCGACAGCGAGAACATCGTGGAGAGCTTTGTTCTTACCACCAGAGGTTCGGACACCAAGCCCGCAACTGTAGGGCTCCTTGTTCCTGGTCGGGAAACTACTTCGGTGGGGACTGTTAACGGCCAGTGACTCCGCCATTTAAAACACTACACTGCTCTACATATCTGACATCATAACCAAACGCCGTTTCCTCGTTGACACAGGTGCAGCAGGTAGTGTGTTGCCTACTCCACTGGTCAAACCAACCCATACTCCTGGTTTGGACTTACGCCAATGGTACGTCCGTGCATACATATGGGACCCGCACCCTGGTTCTCGATTTCGCCTCTCTGGATCGCTTTATGCGGACTTTTCTCATAGCAGATATGGAACAACCCATTCTTGGATGGGATTTCCTGCAACACCATCGACTTATTGTGGATCCCGCAGGTGCAGTACTTCGAGCCTCTCCTAGTACCTCTACACAGGTTAACAGCGTCACCCCAGTTGCATCTACGGAACTTCAAGCACTCCTGGATGAATTCAAAGATGTGACCCAACCCGCCAGCCCTCGACCAGAAGTGCAATATACGATTACGCATCACATTACTACAACGGGAGCATCTACCTTCGCCAGACCACGCCGCCTGGCACTGGAACGATTGGCGGTTGCATGTGCTGAGTTCAACAAGCTACAGGAGGCAGAATAATCGAACAGTCCGTGGACTTCACCTCTCCATATGGTCCCGAAAACAGGCCCAGGGGAATAGCGCCCTTGCGGGGACTACAGGGCTCTCAACGTTCATACTCTGCCGGATCGCTACCCAATACCACACATCCAGGATTTCTCACAGGGATTGAGCAATGCAACCGTTTTTTCGAAAATTTACCTTATGCGGGCATTTCACCAGATCCCTGTAGAACCGGCAGACATTCCGAAAACAGCGATCACAACACCTTTTGGACTGTTTGAATTCGTCCGGATGCCTTTTGGTCTACGGTATGCAGCCCAGACATTCCAACGCTTCATCGACCAAGTAGTTAAGGACCTTCCTTTTTGCTACGCCTACATTGACGATCTGCTTGTGGCCAGTACATCCCCAACAGAACATCTGCTACACCTCCGACTCCTTCTCACCCGTCTGCGCAACTTCGGCTTGCAGCTCAACTCCGAGAAGTGTATTGTCCATGTTCCAGAGCTGGATTTCTTGGGACACCGTGTGTCAGCAGCAGGGGTCCAACCACTAGAGAGAAAATCGAGGCAATCAAGGAATTCCCGCGCCCATCCACTCCAAAGAAGTTGCAAGAATTTCTTGGTGTGGTGAATTTTTATCATCGATTCATCCCACATTGTTCGGACATCTTGCGACACTTGTACGACCTTTTACGTGGTCGGAAACACACATCCCGTCTTCCGTTGGAGTGGACTCCTCATGCAAAGACAGCATTTACCGACATAAAACACAAGCTGGCGGAATTCACCTTACTCACACACCCAGTGTCTGACGCTCCCACCAATCTCTGCCGACGCTTCAAACACAGCTATTGGTGATGTACTACAACAGCTCATTGAAAGAGAATGGCGCCCAATTGCATTCTTTTCAGCACGCCTGTCACCCACTGAAGAGAAGTACAGCACTTTTGATAGGGAACTGCTCGCCATCTACGCAGGCATACAACATTTCCGGCACTTCCTCGAGGCGCGGAATTTCCACATCCTCACAGACCACAAACCCCTCACGTATGCACTGGCGGCCAAGGGTGATGGTCACTCTCCTCGAGTAGCTAACCACCTGGGATTTATCTCCCAATTTACCTCGGATATCCGCCATGTCAAAGGAACTAACAATATCATAGCCGATACACTGTCTCGACCCACCATAAACCACGTCGTGAAAACCCCAGCTCAGGTGGACAGCTGTATTGTAATCAGCAAAGCACAACGTGAAGACCCTGATCTACAGCGATTACGAACATCTGACACAGCTCTCCGGTTCATCGAGATTCCCATGGAAGATGGCGGTAGTATAATCTGTGACACCTCACGGATGGGAGTACTTAGGCCCTACATTCCTGCCCAGTTTCGCTGGAAAACGTTCTCGGTATTTCACTTCCTAGCACACCCAGGAGTACGTGCTTCCCAGAAACTACTAACGGAGCGTGTCGTATGGCCAGGAATCAATGCCGATATTCGACGATGGACTCGCTCATGCCTCCAGTGCCAGCGGGCGAAAACACAGAGACACACAAAGAGCCCTCTTCAACAGTTCCCGTTACCTTCTGACCGTTTCGAGGTTGTGCATGTAGACATCGTTGGACCGTTACCGTCGGCAAGAGGATATTCTTATCTACTCACCTGCATCGATCGATTCTCCAGATGGCCGGAAGCAATCCCATTAATCAACATCTCAGCTGAGTCAGTGCTCTAGGCTTTCCTCTCTGGATGGCTGGATGGGTAGCCCGTTTTGACAGCCCCTCTGTCCTCATCACCGACCAAGGACGACAGTTCGAATCATATCTATGGAAGGAACTTATGGAATTCCTCGGCACCACACACAACCGAACCACCGCATACCACCCTGAGTCGAACGAAATGGTAGAACGCTTTCATAGACAACTAAAAGCCGCCCTAAGAGCTCAAGCACGCCCTGATGATTGGATCGACAACCTTACATTAGTCTTGCTCGGCATTCGTTCGGCCACGAAGGAGGGCAGTGGATTCTAGGTAGCAGACTTAGTATACGGATCTAGCCTGCGGCTTCCGGGCGAATTCTTAACCCCGACGTCACTCATCACACCCCCAGACTCCACTTTTGTCTAGAAATTACGGGCGGCCATGACAAACATTCGGCCTACACCACCACGCCAACCGACAACTCGTGCTACATATGAGCTCCATGAGCTCATATGTAGCACGAGTTGTAGCACGAGCTCATGTAGCATATAAGCTACATGAGCTCCACACAACTGAACACGTGTTTGTAAGAGTCGACGCTGTTCGACGCCCTCTACAGTCACCTTACGAAGGACCATTTAAAGTGGTTTCTCGAACACCGAAGTTCTTCACCATTGAACGCCGAGGACAGCGGGTAAACATCGATCGCCTTAAACCAGCACACTGTGACGCTGCCCCAGACATCCCTCCAGAGACACATCCGCCAACTACGCCGTTCACTTTTCGACCACAGTTACCAGCAGCACCGCCACCTACGACGACGGACGATCCTGTGCGACCTCCCACCCAACAACCCCAGTTAGATGACATCAGCGAAGAGGAGGAAGTTAACTTTGAGGGTTATACAACGCGAGCAGGGCGTACAATTCACCGACCAGCTAGGTTCCTTGATTAAGTGTTTTTCCTTTCATCCCCTGGGAGGGGGAGTTCTGTAGCGAGTAGATTATCCCAATAATATACTCGCTCCAAACGCATTAGCCTAATGAGAGAAGCAAAGTTCTTCTTGGTACTAATTATGGAACTCAAACCTTTCCCAACTTCCACATACTATTCCTGTCAACCTTTGGAGAACGGTGAGGTGTTGCCCGAGCATAAAAGCAGCAATGTTGCGAATAATAACCCACCATTTTGTATCAAGGAGCAGTCGCTAAAGGCAAAGGCCTCAACATAACTTTAAACTGGATCCCATCCCATATTGGAATCCCATTAAATGAAAAAGCTGATGAAATTGCTAAATTGGCAACTCGTCATCCAGTGATACATAAAACAATTCAACCCAGCCTAGAGAACATAAAAAACATCATCACCAAAAAACTCTCACATCTCAACAAAGCCGACCTGCACCAGAGAATAGCTGAAGGTTCACCATCTGCAACATGGTATCTTCAGGCAACCAAATTAGAAAGGTTAAATATCCCAAAAGGAATCCACAGGGAAATAGCAGTTAGGCTATATAGACTACGTCTAGGTTACAGATGCAACTGGGAGATTGGTGAACCCCGACAGAGAGAGTGCATCTTCTGCCAAACTGTCACAGAAAAGCCATTACTTCACTATCTTCTGGAATGTGAAGCAACCAATGACCTTAGAAGAGCTTTAAGAGTTCCTGAATCATGCAGTGGCCACCCTGAAGCCATCAACACAGCCACTCTCCTGGTCAACAAAGGTGTCCAGCAGCTGGACACCCTCATAAAGACTGTGAAGCAGTATCCTCCCCCACGATAACAGCTTGATGGTTAAATGCAACCTCAGAACACTGGGGAAAAAAAAAAGAAAAAATAAAAAAATTAATAATTACGGGAGACATCTCCCGTCACGCAGGGTGCAGTCGCACCTCCACAGATCTCCAGTATCAGCTCTTGATACTGGTAATGGCTCAAAAGGGCCACCACTTACGGGCTATTCATGCCCGTGCCACCTTTTGGGTGGCTTAATCTTTATCAATCATCAATCGAATAATAACTCACCATCTGGTCACCATTTGGTCCGGGAGACATCTCCCGTCATGCAGGGTGCAGTCGCACCGCCACAGATCTCCAGTATCATATATTGATACTGTTGATGGCTCAAAAGGGCCACCACTTACGAGCTATTCATGCCCGTGCCACCTTTTGGGTTCCTTCATCTTCATCTTAACACATTCATAAGGGAGACATCTCCTGTCATGCAGGGTGCATTCGCACCTCCACAGATCTCCAGTATCAGCTCTTGATACTGGTAATGGCTTAAAAGGGCCACCACTTACGGGCTATTCATGCCCGTGCCACCTTTTGGGTGGCTTAATCTTCATCAATCGAATAATAACTAGTCTACTTTCAAGTGTGGTCTAGAACAGACACTTGCGAGATACTGTACCGACGCTCAGTGCGCTCAACTCACACCAAAGTATCATATGCGTACTTCTGTATATTCGACCAAATATATATATATTATGTTAGTGTTTGTGTTTATTGTCACCATACTTTACGTAACAAAAGAACTGTTACCCTGGATTCGTAAACAAACATTTCTGTATATAAGACACCTAGTCCCCACACGTGGAAGTAATACAAGAATGTAATGGAAGGTAAGAATGTGGGGCGAGAAGGTAAGAAGTAAAGCCTAAGACCTAATAGTCATAAGAACAACTGTAGACGGTCTCCATTGTTGTTTGTTCACTCGAGGGCAAGTGTACTGGGCAGTGTTTTCAGCCAAACAATATAACGTTTGTACAGTTACTTGTTCCAATGTAATTGTTGGCAGCTTGCTTGTTCTCTGGTGTTTAGGCGATATACATTTACCTGGTTCAATTACAATGGTATCGCATACAGTTTGGTACAATTATAATGGTATCGCATACAGTTTGTTCGCGTTTTCTGCTTCCTTCCCAAGACAAAAGGTTAAGGTCGGTCGGGAAGCAATATATAAAAAGTTGTTGTTAAGGTGTAGGAAGAGGTAGAGGAAGAGATCTCGCCCAGTTGTTCATGCTGGCGTTGGTACACAGACGGCAGCTCCCACTCTCAACTACACACACACGGAAGTATGCATCAGTTAACACTATTACTCTACATTGTAAATTCAAACTGATTTTTTTTAGAATAGTGTGTGTTTGAAAACAAATTTTGCCCGAAACGCATTGCGTAATAGTGGCTTTAGGCATTGTATGTACTAGCTCTATCTATATATCAATCCATTAATGTAACATCACTTGTATGTATATACCTTACCTGAATAAACATCTGAATCTGAATCTAAATGTCTTTCAAACGCTGCAGGGAGTTTCTCCACTACACAGACTACAGTAGTGTATTATGTGATGTTCTTGGTTGATTGTAACCGATTTCATTGTTATCACCGGATTCTGCTAGTTTATTGTGCACTCAATACTCATTCTGTGAGCGGTGGCACAAAAAGGGTTACAGAAGGGCACAAACTGTTTTAATGGAAAACATTAAAGAAAGCACATGAGCCGAGATTATACATTAGTGGGTGCGGGTCCCGCCTCTAGCTGTGTCCACCAGCTGTAACTTGACCTCTAATACAATAACAATAGCTGTATCCAGTGGACACTTCTCTTACTGGTCGGCAGTCCGTACGTTATTGTATAACTTGTGTTTAAACAATGCGCAGCGCTTTCTATTCCGTACGTTCACTCGAGCGCTCACAACGTCACTAAACTGATGTACTAAATTGCCCGACCCTAACCTACCCGAGAACCTATGAATAGAAAACGGGACATCACCTCAATTTTGCGAATTGCTGTGATTTTTAGTGCATCAGTTTTGGGCCTAAGGCCAAAAACTGGCATACTAGAAAATGTCATTTTCGCCAGCTGCTACCAATGTCCCGTTTTCTGTTGGTGAGTCTTCTGGTAGGTTAGGATAAGGCACTTTAGCACAACAGGTTCTTGACGTTGGGAACGCTGGCGAGAACGGGCTGGAAGCTGGCCAGGTGTAACACAGCACCACAGTTGACCCGCTCTCATTGGAAAGAGGGAGAAGTCTGGACGAGTCTGCTGTACCAGATATCATTAAACTGTTCTACACAAACCGCTATCATTTTCAACACTACACATTACTTACACTTAAACACGAAAAACATGCACTCAGAAGGGATACAGGAAGTGAAAGGCAATCAGAACTGCACGTGGAAAACAGTAGGTATAGGCCATCGCCATAATATTACCTGATGGACCTGGGTTTTGTGAAGATAAAATTGTAG